GTAGGAATCCATAGGGGTTTTGCAATATTATTAAATCATTAGTACTATACTACCAGTATCCTAAATGTTTTTTTTATTGTTCTGGATTTGTAGTGTCATCAGTGTGAGGAACTCCCAGTACAGAAATTCCTTCCATGGATGAAAGGTCTGCAGAATGTCCCTTCATCTGCAGCTATTAATTATTAACTTTGGAAGTTGTCTAAAGGGCAGAGGGTAAGTGACTTTCCCACAATCACACAGATACTATGTTGAAGGTGACTTTATTTCCTTCTCCATACTCCCTCTCCATATGTGTTATCATTTGACAAATTATATTTGATAAGATGCAATGGTAATAAGGGAAAATTAGAGAAAGTATGTCCTGTCCAAATCCCAATACTTTGAGAGGCAACATGACTCAGTGGAAAGAATACTGCATTTGGAATCAGAGGACCTGGGTTTAGATGATGCTTCTCTTGCTTAAGTACCTACATTACTGTGCGTATGTCACTTGACCTCATTGAGTTTTAGTTTCTTTATCTGTAAAATACAGAGTTTGAAGAGCATAACCTCTAAAGTCCCTTTCAAATCTAAACAGTTGATGATATTTCATTGAAATTTAAGATACAGGAAACCACAATGGCTTCATGAGTAACCAAGGTGACATAAATAAACATCATGAACAGGTGCCCAAATAAAGGCAATATTCCAACATTATATGACACTTCACTTTTCTATGTACTACTTAAGGCAAATTTTGTAACCAAAGCTCATTTTCAATGGCTGTGGTCAATGGTGACATTGTGACATAAATCACGTAAGCTTCTTAATTTAAGATTACCTACCCTTTTGCCTTGAGAATCATTCAATACTCTGAATATAGACAGAAGTGGAAATGGTTGACCATTGATAATAACGGCCTACCCACGGTAACCAAATTCTAAGGGTCACCAAGACTTCTCGTGAATAATGTTTATTTGCCAATAATGCCATTCTTCCTAATAGAAAAGATAGGACATGTCCCTTCATAGCCTTGTTCAATGATTATTTACCATATTTTCAAAGGCATGACAAAAGTATAGTTCTAAGTTCACAGAATGGATGAATAGTCAGCAACATCATTTTATCCTATACCCATATGCTATGACCATCAGAACATAACCAAAGGATAAAAACAAAAAAGAGGCATCTGCCACAACAAATTTATTTTAAATTTTGCCCACAGCAGAATTAACTATTGTGACTCTGGATTTCCAGACGAGTTCAGTTTTTCCAGATTCCTACTTTAGATAAAACATTTCTCTCATTATTCTTTAAGGACATGAGATCAGCTCTAGTACACAGCATATCTTTCTGTATTCCTAGTTATGACCTAGTCTATAAGAAAAGATGAAACTCACTATGAGATACAGTACACCGTAATCAAAAGACAAGTGGTCTTGGATTCAGATAACTTGCATTCAGCTTCTAACATGCACTATGCTTCACTGAAATCTTTCTGACCATTAGTTTCAATTCTCTCTAAAATCAGAATAATAATGCTCATACTATCTACCTCATAGGGCAATTATGAGGAAAGGGCTTTGGAAAACCTAAAACACAACATTAGTATGAATTACTCCTATACTTCAGCTGCAATTCATCCTCTTTCTATTCCATACTTAATATTGTCAAAGAAAAGGGAAGCCTAAAAGCTTAAGTGTTGAGACTCTCAGGGAGCTCAATTCCATCATTTTGCCACATCTTGAATTAAAGTTCATCATGTAATAAGTTCTTGTCTAGGTCCTGGATTCATCACTCCAAAACAAACTTACTATGCTATAACTTCATAAAATATAAGAGAGGTTTAGACTTAATTAAAAAATAAAATAGTAACAGATCAGGTATCTTATTTCTATAGTTCAAAAGTTGCTTATGGAAAATTAAAACAAACAAAATCTACAACAAACTAAGATACAAACCATGATGAGAAAGCCACAGGACCACATTATTATAAGTATAGATCTGGAAGGAACCTCAGCAGTTATTTAAGACAACCCACTTATTTTAAAGTTGAGGAAATTTAAGGCCAAGAATATTAAATGACTTGTCCAAGGTCACATAGGAAGTACTCTTTGAAATAAAAACAACTTTCTCACATGAAAGAGGAAAAGCCGATATGCCATCCCATACAGATACAGACATTAAGATATACAGATAGATATAAGTTTCTCTATCTACACACACACACACACACACACACACACACACACACACTACACACATACACACACATAAATACACCCCAGGCCTCCATGTTATAAATTCTGGGCTGCCAAAATTCATGTGGCCAGAGAAATAAATAAATCTTTTGGGAGAAAGCAGAAAGGGTTGAAAAAGCACAAGTAATTTAAGTGTCTAGGTATTTTCCTTATTTCTCTTGTATTTGAAAAGAGCCATGATGAAAGAAATTAATTTCAGGTGTATTCTACTTTTTACTACAATATGTTCAAAAATTCTAGAGAATTTAGTTCTCCGTGCAAGCCATGTTACCACCTTTACAAATCAAGTGGTCAGAGAATATCTCTGGGTTATCAGATGTAGTTTCCCACTCAAAGCATTGCTAGATGATTGCTAAACTTTTGGTAAATGCTGCCATGTAGACTTGGGGACAATACAGAAAGTGAAAAGTATAAAAAAAATCATTTTAATTTTAACCCTCTGTGTTCAGGAGGAACTGCAGTTAAACCCTTATTAATAAATATATTTCAAGACTTCCAACATTCTAAAAGCACCAGATTCCCTCAGTATTTTCCTGCAGGAAGTAACTCTTCTATTCTTATATCTTGAGAAATAGCCTTTACATGAAATTAAATGGTTAAAAACACAGAATACCTAAAAAGCTTCATCTAGGCAAGAACAAACACTTACATTGTTCAAAGAATTAGTGTAATTACATCTGTGAATATTCATGATGGACCTGAGCCCTTATTTTCCATATATACTTCAATTTTCAAAATAAATAAGTCCATAGAGTTTATCCTCTATAAAATATAGTGTTCACAGTTTCTTTTTTTAAAATTTTTATTACCTTAATGTTATTAGTCCCTTTTTAAACTTTTAAGATACTTGCCTTATACTATTGTCCTGAAGATGTGATATAAAGAATGAAATGTTGAAAACACTAAAATAATATTGTGTAATTGTTTTTAAGAGTGAAAATTTCAAAAACAAAACAATACAAATTGTAATAAAGTTTTTTGCTGCTCTAAATGATAACACAAGCACAACTTTATCCCCATATCTAAGGTACATGCAATTTAATAGTATCCCCAATATTTAAAATACGGTCCAAATTCAGATAAAAAGTAAAAGTGACTCATTTACATACACACACACACATATAAATTTTTCATGTTAGGTCAAAGTTACTGCTAGTCAAAAGGTAATGACAATTTTTAGTTTGTGCTTGATAATATCTGAGTTTATCTTTTTCAACATGAAAAAGAGTTCATCAAATACTGAACAGCAAACAAAAAAATTAAACATCATCATTTATTAATTGTGATAGCTAGTGTTAAGATTTAAATTCCAAAGAATTGGAAAATAAGAGATATGTGAGTGTAATGATAAAATGACACTAAAGAACATTTTGAATAATCTTTGAAATCTTTTGAATTAATTTGATGTCCAGAATTCTTGGCAGAAATTTTTGTCACTGTTGTCAAAAATGTTAAACCCCTTTTTGTACATGTCCATCCTCTTCAATAACCCTATCTAGCACACTACACCAAGCATTGTATATATTTTCCAACAACTATTAAATACACATATTCCCATATGTTCTTTGGTAATTTTAATGTTTGTATAATATAATGTACTTGTTTATTATATGTGTGCACACATATATATGTGTGTTATATGTATATATATATATATATAAACATATAATATAAATAATGTATATTGTGTATATGTATATACATGTATTACACACTGTGTGTATACATATATATATACATACATACATACATACATATATGTAGTGTGTGTGTGTGTATGTGTATGATTCCTGTTTTAAAGACCATAAATTCTTTTCAATTCAGGGCCTAATTTTCCATTTCTTTCCTACAATTTAAAAATTATTTATTTTATTCTGACCTTAAGAAATACAACAAGCATTTCCATAACAGAGTAGAAGAAAAAAGATGATTGTGCATGAAACTGCAAATCTATTATGTACAGCTTACTATTCCTTTTAAAAATACAATAAAGTTATTGTGTAACTTTTCCCCCTTTTTTTCTTCTCTCCTTCTCCCCTTAGACACAAATGTGTGTATGTGTGTACATACACACACACACACACACACACACAACACACACACACATATATATATATACATACATACATATGTATACACATGTAAAATCATTCTGTACATATTTCTATTTATCAATTCTTTCTCTGGATGCAAATAGCATCTTATAGTATCTAGAAAGTATACTTCAATACCAGTGACAAAAAATTTCTGATAGCAAAACTTAAGAACTGTAAGAAAAATATCTGACCATTTTCATTTCCCCATCCCCATCTTTAATCAACCTTATTAGGTTATTCATGGTTCTTGAGTTTTCTTTGGAAATAAAAATTGATATACAATGGATTTTAAATTTTTGTAGGCTCACACCAACTGAAGTTTATATTAAAAGACAGCCAACACCAACAATGCTGACATAGTCATAGGATAGGTACCTAACAAATAATATACTTATTTAAGCCATAAGCCCACAATTCCAAAGAATTAAGGAACCATTATTATGTGAATTTCCAATGTTACTTTTTTTCTTTATCCTAATATGTTAGCCAACAAGAAGGTAAATTAAACCACTTTTTAATATGAATGGCAGCATTTCATAAACAATTAAACAGTTTACAGTTAAAGCATGATTAATTTTGTTTTGCTCACCTGAAGTACAATTTTCTAATCTCATAATATTGATCACTAAAATATTTCACAGTTAAAAAAAATGCCATTTCCTACCTCAGTTAAGTGTGGCGTTGGGTTAAATCCACAGAGATTGCACACCACATTCTTGCATTCTGTACAAGTATTAAAGTTGGGAGGATCCTTAGAGCCCACATTTAAGCCAGTTTTACAAAGGGGGCAAGTAGATTTTGGCTTGGTGGGCTTTTCTGATTCCAGAGTGCCAGTAGCCTTTTGTGGTTCTACCAGTTGAGGTTTGCTGTCCTTTGTGGGAAGAGGCTTCTTTTCTGATTCTGTGCCTTTGACTGGGGCAACCTGTTCAATTTTAGGCACCTCAGTTTTTTCAGCAATTGGAGTTTTTGTGTCCTTTTTAACAGGTGTGGTTTTAGGAACTGTTTGTAGAATTTGACTGGTGGGCTTAGGCGGTACCTGAGACACAGGTGGATGTGGAGGAGGAGGGGGTTGTTTGGTTGGAGCCCCTGGCATACCTTGTGCTTGAGTTCCTGCTTGGCCAGCTGTGGAAATTAAATTTGATGCCTGGCTAAAGATAGATGCTCCAAATCCAAATAGTTTTCCAGTCACCGTCTCTTGGGGAGTTGTGGGCTGTGATTTGGGGGCATCTGTGATACTTCCCAGATTAAGACTGAACCTTCTTGAATGCTCTTGAGTCTTTGGGGGCTGCTGGGGTATAGGTGTGGGTTGTCCAGGACTAGGCTTTGTGCCTGGGAGAGTAGGAGATCCTTTTGGCATTTGCTTGGCTCTGGCTTGGGGCTCATTTTGGTTTGTGCTTTCTTAGGGTCTTCCTTCTTTTGAATTGGATCAACTTGTTTTTGACTTTTACTCTCTGAAATCACACCAGGTTGTGAAATGAGTTTGGAATCAGATGGAGTACGTGATGGGCCTTTAGAATCAGGTGGGACTTCTTTATCCCCCCCTGGTGGGATAATTTGAGTTGATTTGGCAGAATCGGTTTTAGGAGGCTGTGCTGTTTTCTCCTGAACCTGTGATTGTATTTTGGAGCCTGGGAGATCAGGTTTTGCTGCAGCTAACGAGGAAGCCACAACATCTGCTGTAGGCTTCTGTATCTTTGGCTGTTTGGGTTTGTCATCAGCCATTGGTGCCTTGGCTTGTTCAGATTTGAGAGAAGGCTCTGGGTGAGGGGTTGGCTGGGTTACAGACTCTCTTGGGGAAGGCTGCTTGGCTTTTGCTGGAGGAGAGCCTGGAATGGATGGTTGTTTCGTGAGCAGCGGAGGCTTTTTAATCTCAGGGGGCTTTGAAAGATCTGGTTTAGGGGTAACATCTTTCTTCAGGGAAGTCTGATGGGATGGAGGGGCTGGCTTAGTCACAGAAGATGCTGTAACCACAGGGCTAACCTTCTGTTTCTGCTGAGGAGTTGATGGAACTGGGGCCAAATCACCACCCAATGCTCTTTGCATCTGGCAGTTTAAACAAAGCCACTCTTTAACCTGTAAGGAAAAAAAAAAATAAATGTAATTGAAACAACCATTCAGAGGGTTTTCAAAAGATTATAAACTGGTAAATAAGAAAGAATCAAATAAATATTCACAATAAGGAATTGCTCCTTGAGGAAAAAGGCTATATGTTATTCATCTTTCTTGCCACTAAATGACTAGCCCTTAACATGTGCTCAATAAATATTTGTAGAATAAACAAATCAACATCTCCCAAATGAATCAAAACATTGATTACAACCAAAAAGGTTAATGGAATTAAAAGCTGGAGATCTGTAGATTGTGAAATAGCTATGCTTCTGAAGAAAAGGAGAGATTGAAGATTAATATGATTGTGTATTTCCTTCTCAGGCATTACACACACACACACACACACACACACACACACACACACACACACACATACATACATATATACACTCTTTGCTTTAATTAGTATAAAACTTGTCCTTTTGCTCCAACCAGATCTGATTTAGGCAGAAATCAAGGCACACAAAAAAGTGTGTTAAAAATTTCTAAGATTGGGAGGCAGAGCCAATATGGTAGAGTAAAACCAATGAGTTGCTTCAGCTCTCACCCCAAACCCTCCAAATAACTGTAAAAAATGACCCTAAACAAATTCTAGAGTAGCAGAACCCACAAAAAGACAGAGTGAAACAAATTTCCAGCCCAGGACAACCTGGTGATTGATGGGAAAAGTCTGCTGTGCTGGGCTGGGAGGACAATGCAGTTCAGAGTGGCCACCATGAAGGCAAAGAGGGGCCCTAGTAAACTTAAAGCAGGCCTCAGGGGACTGAATCACTGGCAGCAGTGATGGTTCCCAGAATTCTCAACCCACAAATGCCAAAGACAACTTAGAAGGTCAGTAGGAAAGGTTTCCAGAACCTGGGTGAGAGAGTTGGGAGGTCTGGCCCCATCCCTGGCATAACTCCTGGGCAACTGCAGTGGTGGCTGCTTCTGGAGCTCTCAGCTCACAAATGATAGGGTATAAAGAAGCTGATCAGAAAGGGATTGCATGGATCTCTTTGTTCGCATTGACGCAGGATTCTCTTGCTTTGCCCATGTTTGGATCTGGATAGTAGTCCTGGGTGGTGGTCCTGGGGGGAGGAGGAGTGATGATGTGGCAGATCTTATGGCAGTGGTACAGAGAGAATCCTTTTCAGTTCCAAAGCAGAAAAAGAGTACTTGTGGTCACTCAAAGACCAGCACACAGGTCAGGAAAGGAAAACCACCTATCATTTGATAGTACCACCTCAGAAGGACTGAAAATTTACAGGGCCCTAGAAGTATCTCTGAAAACAGCTGCAAAACCCCCCAAAGCTTGGGATAGTAAATCTTCCATAATATAAACAGAGCTTTAACAAAGAGTTAAAAAGTCAAGAAATTGGCTGGGAACAGGAGCAAACAGCAAGAAAAAATAACTCAGACTGTAGAATCTTACTTTGGTGATGAAGAAGATCAAAACATACAAGCAGAAGAAGACAACAAAGTCAAAGCTCCTACATCCAAAGCATCCAAGAAAAATATGAATCAAAATCTTGTGCAAGTGAATGTCAAAAACTAAAAATAAATTAATTAACAATGAAAATTCCCAAGATTAGCCTACATATAAGATATACAAGATTTATCTAATGATTTCCAGGGCAGAGTTCTAAGTTCTAAGTCCTGAACAAAGCTCTTCAAAAAGATGTTCATACTTTCCTCAGTGCAATATTGTAGAAGAAACTTGAAATCAGAACACCTGGATTTCAATAGCTATTCTCTTTTACCAGCTGTGTGACCTTAAACAAATCACTACCTTTCTCTAACTCTATCTCCTCCCTATAAAATGAAGGTAGGGGAGGAGGGGATGGACCAGATGACCTCTAATGTTCTTTCTAGATCTAAATTTTATAACTTTATGATTCTACAAATTAAAATATAAGTTACCTTCAAATTAGATGATCTATCATGGTAGGTTTAGAGACCAAAATTTGCCTGCTCAGATGACAGGAAAGAAATAAGTATCAATTCATCCAAATGGTTGATCTACAGCTCTTCCATAGAAAGAGATTATATGCTAACCTCCCAAATCATCATCCACATGATGTGAGCACACTTTGTAAACTTGTTTCTTAGAAAAAGAAATTAAGTATGAGGCTTATATGATTTATCTTAAAACAGATAAAAATACCTATATGATTTCTAACTGGAATGAAATAACATCCACTATGAAAAATATACCCTGTTGACTATTGTGTACTTCAGAAGAGGATTGGACCATACTCAAATAATATATTAAATGCACACAAAAATCTTTCTCATGGGTATTTTATTAAGCCTCATGACCAAATGCTTTTAGAACTAAACTCTCCTGTCAAGGGTGACTTTTCATTCTCATCAATATTAAACCTTTGAAATCTCAAAGCAGATTAAATTGCTTTCTAAAGGCACCAATTACAAGGGAGGAGAAAGCCCAAGTAACAAACATTCTATCACCTATTTTATGTGGAATGGTCTGTGAAAATACTGCAGCACACCCATTCATCTCCACAATTCCAATTTCAAGCCCTACTCTTCTGCTGTCTCCTTATAAGTCCCTCTCTTCCCAAATATGATTTCAACTCTTTTACAATCTCCTACTCACCTCCTGGCCCAAGGAAAGGAGAAAGAAAGAAAGAAAGGAAGGAAGGAAAGGAAGGAAGGAAGAAGAAGAAGGAAGGAAGGAAGGAAGGAAGAAGAAGAAGAAAGAAGAAGAAGAAAGAAAGAAAAAAGAAAAAGAAAGAAAGAAGAAAGAAGAAAGAAAGAAAGAAAGAAAGAAAGAAAGAAAAAAAGAAAGAAAGAAAGAAAGAAAGAAAGAAAGAAAGAAAGAAAGAAAGAAAGAATTACTCAGCTAGGCAAGAAAATTAAGAATGAATTCAAAGGATTTGGAAACTAGTCAAGAACATAAAGATCATATAATGAAGTTCACTCATTTCCTAGATGTAGAAACTCAGAATCTTAGAGGTTAAATAATTTGTCCAAAGTCACAAGTAGCTGAAGGCAGATTTGAAACTCGATTCCTCTCACTCTAAATAAGTGCTCTTTCCATTACATTGTTAAAAACCCTTCTAAATTTCTAAAGATATCATTAAATTGTTGTGTCTACAGTTATATTAACCATCTTAGATTAAATATTTCTTGAGGGCATTTCCTTATTTGTTCCTTCTATCCACTTTATCAAGTCCTATGTACAAATGATATGCTCAAACCATATGTTAATAATTTGTCCAAGTTTTCCTCCTCTAGGATTCTTTTTGTTAACAAGTAAACTTCTTGCATTTATTACACATGTCAAAAAAACCTCCAAGGATTTGCTTTCAATTTTAACATCCAAATGTCATGCACTGCCTGTTTTAATGTACATTCTAGTTTTGTGTTTGAATTCTTCCAGATTATTGGTAGATGAGAAAAACATCATCATACTTAATAGTATATGCTTTGTCTCACTCTAATACTTGAGGCTTTTTTAAAAACATCTGTTGGTTTTTGAGACTCTGTCTCCCTATATCACCAAGGCTCAAAGTGTAGTAGCCATTTATAGGCTAATCCCAGTGTTGATCAGTACAGGAATTTTTACCTATTCCACTTCTTGCCTATGCCAGTTCTCCCCTCCTTAGGCATCCCAGTGGTCCCACAATCAAAAGCTCACAATATTAGTGCCAGACATGTTGTGAATGCTCAATAACCTTTAGCTCTACTGCAACCTGGAATTCCCAAGCTCAAGCAATCCATCAACCTCACCCTTCCCAATAGAATGAATTATAGTCATATACTACCAAAACTGGTACCTGAGATTTTTAACAAATATATACATTTATATCACAATCTCTCTGTCTCTCTCCCTCTGTCTCTCTCCCTCTCTCTCTCCCCTCTCTTGGTATTGGTATTGGAAGTGGCAAATGGATATTAACAAAACTGTCTTTCTCTTCCTTCCTCCTAGTAAATCTGTAGGCTCTTGACCTTTCACCCAACAGTATTTCATTCTTGACTTTCTACAAATGAAAAATATCACAATCCTGAGGTTCCTTGCCACTCTTGGAAAGGCATCTTTCTGCTTCTATTACAATATGAAAAGCTTGTTTTCCTCTAGAGATTTTGGAAAATAGTCTCTTTCTTATTTAATCTAATTCCATTGGCCAAATACTTTAAAATGAAAAGTCTTTTTATGACATATATTTTATTTTCCTCAGAGTTTTGACAGTTTTTGTTTCTTCACTGAAAGCGCTGGTATTCCCATTTCATTCTAACTCAATAGAGAAAACTGTCACTTTTAAGGATTTTATTTACCTGTATGATGGACATATAGATAGATAGAAAGAGACAGAGAGAGAGAGAGACAGAGACAGAATGAGACAGACAGACAGAGAAAGAGATAGAAACAGAGAAAGACAGAAAGAGATACAGAGACAGACAGAATTTCTCTAACCAGTTTTACATTTAATCTATTGGATCCCATGCCACTTAAAATAAAAGTGATGTTCCCTGGCAATGTCCCTATGAATTTTAATCTAATCAATTGAAGAGGTTTAAGTGGTAGAGTGCAAAGAGTACTGACTATAGTTTCAGAAGACCTGGATTCAGACCTAAACTATGAAAATTAATACCTGGGTAACCCTGGGCAAAAATGCAACCCTCCTGAGCCTCAGTTTTCCTCATTTTTGAAATGAAGTGATAGGACTAGATGGCCTCTTAGATCCCTTCCAGCTCTCACCTTTGATCCTTTGAACTTGGCCTTAATCTTCATTCTGTTAATAACATTGACCTAATTCTGCCCTAAGTTGTACCATATATTACTCTTATTAACATTAATCTAGGTCAGTTGAGGAGAGGACATAGCAGTCCTTAAAATGTCAGTTTCCCTTTGGAGGATCAAAGAAATATTGGTGATTAATCATTTGGGCCTGAGTTACATGTATCATCATGTTCCTAAAGAAGGGGAGACAGGAAGGAGCACACTTGCAAGATACATTCAA